TGTGAGCCATTCTGCTGGGTGTGCAGCAATAGCTCATTGTGATTTTAATTTGCATTTCTTATGACTAATGATGCTGATGATCTTTTCATATGCTCACTGGGTTTTGAGAAGAAAACGTGTTTAGAAGGGTTTCTATGCTGCAGAAAACCATACAGATGGTTTTCAAAAATAGGTTATTTTGACAATTACAAGAAGTCATTCATTGCTTATCTAAGTGAGGGCGGTGTTAGGAGTGGTGATGGCATATATTTATTCAATGACTATTTATTGATTCTCTGCTTTAACATATTGCAAAGTGATAAGGATTTGATACTGTAAGCCTTTTTAAAGTTTATGGTCCTGCAAACTCATAGGAGTTATATTCCAGTGAACAAAGGAAAGAATGGGTGATGCTGAAAATAAAAATCCAAGGCACAAAAAATTCTTTATAGATTGTTAATAAAAGAAAGAAGTAGCATTTGATTATTTTATGTGAAACTAACGAGAAAAAGGATTTTGTCTGCTTTAGTTTCAAGGCAGTAATGTTTCCACCAGGTCTTAGCAAAGAGAGATACAAGAGAGATTATAAAAAATATTCTGGGGAAATTGGAGTCATGATGAATAAGGAACATAAAACAGACAAGATGGGATTCCCTCAGAAAAGTAAAAGTAAAGGTTAAGTTTTGGAAAGATAGAGGGCACTTACTTCTCAAAACAGCATATGGAAAGTAGGAAGGAGGGACAAGAAGGAACAAAAGTAGAGCTGTGAGTGGTATATAAAACAGCGTTTATGAGCTCTACATCGTTGGAGAGGGATTTAGCTTTAAAAAAAAAATGTTACTAACAAGAGACCTACAGAGAGTGGCAAAAGGTGATCAGAACTGCTATGGGAATAATAAAAGGATCTGATCAAATTAACTGAAATGGATGATAAAAGCACTAAAAACTCACCAGAATTTAGAGATTGTGCATTAAGATACAACCTTAATTTATAGATACATGATTTTCTCCGGACTTATTTCCTGCCAGAGGAAAGGAGTAGGAGAGATGGGGAGGAAGTAAGACGTTGGTGATCCTGGGTTAGCTTTGATGGGCATAGTACAAAGGGAAAAGCTGAGGAACTGGACCTTTGGGGAGTTGTGTTTGAAGTGATTGCCAATAAGCTTTAACACAGAAGACAAGAAAGTCAAGATGATCCACTGAGAGAAGAGAGCCCCAGTGAAAAGACCTGAGGTTTGAACACTAGGGAGGAAAAGGCTCGAGGAATGTAGAAATAGGAATCTCTGACCCAGTGATGTGCAGGAGCCGCTAGTTCCAGCTGATGTGAGCATTTCTTCCCAACCCTATATTCAAGGAAATCTTGGCGGTAACTTGAAATCAGCCACACCATGATCATAAACAACTTACAAATCAGGCCCTGTCTTCCCCCCCACCCCGACCCTCAGAGAGCTGGTTGTTAAACCTTGACCAGCACACCACTGTAGTGAGCACATAGTAACACTTCAAATTTTCTTTTTTCCAGAGATGATAACAAGTACTAGGATGAGGTTTGGAAAATGAAGTTGAGTTTATTATTAAGTAGCTATGTACTTATAATAACAGTGAACATCTGATAAATACTGACACTAAAGTCATCTAAGATGAGGTCAAAAGAAGAAAATGGCTGCCAATTAAGAAGTAATGAACATGGGAAAAGACCATGAAGAAAAAGGAGAGAAGGTAGTGAGGGCCGCCTGTGAGGCTCAGTTGTTGAGTGTCAATCCATGCACCAACAGATAGCCGGTTCAATCCTCTGTCAGGGCACTGCCCAGAATTGTAGGCTCCATCCCCTACAGGGAGCGTACAAGAGGCAGCAGATTGATGTTAATGTTCTCTCTCTCCTCGATGTTTCTATCTCTCTCTTTCTCTCCCTTTCCCTTACACTCTCTCTAAAATCAATTAAAGAATTTTTTAAATGATAGTGGACTTGGAAAGTGTAAAGTTAAAAAAATGAGAGGTTATAAGAGTTGTCAGTAAAACAATAATTTTTTTTTTTTAATCCTCACCTGTGGATATTTTTCCATTGATTTTTATAGAAGGGAAGACAGAGAGAAATATTGATGTGAGAGAAAAACATAGACTGGTTGCCTCTTGCATGCATTCTGACCAGGGCCCAGGTTGGGGAGGAGCCTGCAACCCAGGTATGTGTCCATGCCCTGAACTGAACCCAGGACCTTAGGCCTGCAGGCCAATGCTCTATCCACTGAGCTCTATCCACTCAGCCATGGCAATGAAACAATAATCTAAAAGCCATATAACAATGTAGAGCTTTTAACTGATCTATTGTAGTATGCCTGGCACATAGTAAGTGTTCTCTTTATCTAAATCCTGCACTAAGTTCTTTATTATTTATTTAAATGACCGAGAAAAGTGACTGTTCCTTCAAATCCAAGAATATCACTCCACTCTGACAAGTTTACTTTCTATCTTTAATTGTAAAGACTTTTGTTAGTTGTAAAAATTTCCCAACACTTGAAATAAGTTTCTTCTGCTTTCAGAAATTACTTGATGATTAGTAATCAGTATATTCTGCTTAATTTTGAAAACATTTTAATGCTATTTATAGATTATTATATCTTCTGAAAGGCCTATTAGTTAACTATAAAGTAGTTACTATCTGATAAACTATTAAGAAATTAAAATTTTAAACTTTAGATCAATAAGATTCTCTTTGCTATATTATTTTCTGGAAAAAATATTCTATGCCAATATCCCATCTCATGTTAAAATATAACTTATAGATAATGGCAGTAAATGATTCAGAAATTACCCACAAACTGTATTTGCTTGTGAAAGGAGAACTAGACACACTCATTTTACAAAATACATTTTTAGAATTTTAATATAAATAACGGGAGAAAAATAAATAAATCCTAGCACATCTTAAACAGAAAATAACTAAGGAAGAGTTCACACACATCCCCATATGAATTATACTTCCTGGACAACAGCTGAAACACCTGGGAAACTGGCATTCATATGGGGACATTAATTTAGGAAATGCTATTTGGAACTTGATCGCAAGAAACCTTGAAAAATGCACTTGGGAAGGCTTTGTGAGCTTTTAACTATCTTGTGAAACGCATGTAAGCAAGGCTCATTCATAATATAATATAATTATCCAATGTCCACTTGGACTACTCACTGTCTTTCTGAAGGCCTCAATCCCTTGAACCAAATGTTCTTAATAATCTTTTCAATACACCAAGTACAAACATATGCGTATCATTAGATTAAAACTGTATTTTCAGGACCCACTTCAAAATGCTGAAACAAAACCCACCACACATATCCCTGAACTCTAACTCACATTTCATAAAGGAATGTGCTTTAATACTCTCTCCCTCATATATTGCTCTTTTTTCTCTCCACTTCAGGGAATATGAATTCTCAAGCATGGAGGGAAGAAAAACCTCCCATCTTCTCTTCCTGCGCCAAGCTTTGCTCAGGATCAAAAGCAAGGAATTCTTTCAGCCAGAAAATGTTCAATGGCTCCCTGCTCTGAATCTTCTTTTGTAGACTTAGAATGGCCCAAAAATTTCCCCGAAAGATTTAATGAATGCTTAAACTGATTTAAAACTTGTTAACAGTGGGGTGGGTTAGGCCCAGGGGAGTATGGGAAAAAATAGAAAAATGCAAAAAACCTTGAATTTTAGCCAACTGTTATGCCCTTCTGACCAAGAGTCCCCAAACGTTTTGAGATTTGCCTTAACCATTATAATGTAGAATAGGGGTGTCGAACTCAATCAGAGAAGGGGCCAAAATTTAAAATCCAGCCTAAATCGCGGGCCGAATGGTTTACTGAACAGTCATAAACTGTCATTGTGATGGAAACGCAGCGGAGTGCAGTGATGACAGCGCGGTGCGGGCCACATTGCAAGGCCTGGCGGGACGGATTTGGCCCGCGGGCCTTGTGTTTGACACATGTGATGTAGAATATAGACAAAGCAAGTTTTAGGGAGAACAAATCCCATATAGGGACTTGAATTCTCATTGTCTCAGAGTTTGCTGGAGCTAATGAATTCCTTCTAAGAGAAATATATTTTCCAAAGGTGAAGAGCTATGCATGAAATTCCTCACCTGACGTTGAAAGGTCAGGTCCACATTTGCTGACACTTCAATCTGGGGTCCTTACTTCTCTTAGATGCTCAAAGTAATAAAGGAAGTCTAGAAAGCAATTGAAGGGAGGATATTTCAAATTGAATATGATAGAAGCCAAATAAGTATTCCACAATGATTCACATATATAGAGTGTGCATACTTTTCTCACTAACAACAAAACTTAAGTAGGCATAACTCTATTTGATTCACAAAACCCTATGCTGTAGTCACTGTCATTAGCCGTGCATTACAGAGGAGGGAATTAAGGCTTGGAGTAGTCACGACTAGAACTGGCAGGGCTGGGAATCCACCCTGCTAGACTGTGGCCTGCACCATCACATGAGGCTTCTCAGAATAGGGAATGGTCTTCATCTGAGTGTTCATCTTGTTCTCACATCATCTTAAAATAGGATTCAACTGCAGTTATAAAAATGATGTAGTAATATCAGATTATACCTTATACTTAAAAAACTATAGGACTTGCAATTCTGCTGGTCCAGGAGCTTCAGTCAGGGAGTGTGGCTGCAGCCGACCTCACTAGGTGAGGGGCCCCCTGTGCTCACAGCCCTCCAGCCTGAGGCCCCAACCCCCAGTCTCACCAGAATGAGCTTTGTGTGGCCACACAGACTGAGTCCTACCTCACCACAGGGATTTGCTGGCAACACAAACTGCTTACAATTTCAATCTGTGAGTTTCCTTTTTTCAAAAAAAATATTTAATTTATTTGCTTAATTATTTAATCTGCCATTCCAATAGGTTTGATACTGAAAGAAATTATTACACATGGGCTTATTCTGTCTTTGAAAAAAATATTGAACATCTTTCTAACCAAAGTAATACATAGTCACACATTTAAGTAAATTCTAAATTAGATTTAAGTAGTTAATTTTACATAATCTTTATGTTTCAGAGAATTACCAAAGCACCATACTGAACAAACCTATCACTGAAACACATTTGAGTTAAGAAATCATTTTTTTTAAAAATCACAGGAGTTCTCTGAGAATCTTGGAAACTGTTGTAGTCACTGGGAATCTAGAGATGTATAGAAGATCTATCTCTTTTTTAAGGTCAGCACAGAAATGCTCTACACAGGAATCAAAAGATAAGAAAGAAAAGAAGGTTATCTTTCCGCATATTTTTGTTTTTCTCAATGCAAACTTTGGTATTACTATCCTATATATATTTGGAGGACTTTAAAAATAATAATAACTAATATTTATTGAGTTCTTACTATATGACTAGCATTTTTAAGTACTTTATGTGTTTTAATTATCTTAACCTTCAAAAAAAATGTACTGTATATAAAAGCATTATTCCCATTTTACAGATGCCACAGGACAATTACATAATTGATATAAAGTCGAGCAGCTGGTAATAATGGACAATTTCCAAAATATTTAACTGACACCTTCTTTCTTACAGTGTACTTTCATTAGTTTAAAAACATAAAATATCCTAGCTGGTTTGATTCAGTGGATAGAGTGTTCGCCTGCAGACCAAAGGGACATGGGTTTGATTCTGGTCAAGGGCATGTAATTGGTTCTAGGCTCCTCCCAGGCTCAGGCCCTGGCCAGGGCACATGTAGGAGGCAACCAATCTGTGTGTTTTACATGGATGTTTCGCTCTGTCTTTCGCTCTTTCTTCCACTCTCTCTAAAAACCCATGGAAAACTACCCTTGGGTGAGAATATTTTTAAAAACAATAAAAACATAAAAACATAAAGCTATTTTCCCCAAAAAATGATAATCTTACATTGTGGCCAGCATGACTTACTTGAGTAAAGACCAATTGGTTATAAGCATGACAAGATCTCTGTTACTGAAGAAGCTAATATGCTGAGAAATTTACAAGAATATTTTCTGCTAAAAATACAGTGATTGATTTCTTTCAATGAAGAATATGAACACATGGACTGAATTTAGGATGGAACACTGAAACAGAAACTGCTCTGATTTTTTTTGAGATGTGTATTCATGGACTAAAAGTGATAAAATTATGAAGTTACGCAGGCTGCTTTCAAGTCTAGGGCATTTCATCATGTTTGTATTTTGGTTAAATAAAAAAACACATTTTATTAATATACATATAATAGAAATATGTGCTTTATTATACATAAAAAGGGAGAAATGACACAACCACTTTTGGAAAACCACTTGGCAGTTTTATATAACTTAAGCAGATACCTACCAGATGACCATGCCACTCAATAAAGAAATACATGTCCATACAATATTAGAACATGAATGATCATTTGAAATAACTCAAAACTGAGAGACGGGGAGGGAACCAATGCCCATTGACAAATGAATGACTCAACATCCTGCAGTATATCCAAACCTCGGAATACTACTCAGCAATAAATACGAAGGAACTACTGACACATAAAACAATGTGGATAAATCACAAAACAATTCAGAGTGAAAGAAGACACTCCACCCCAAAAACCCATTTAAACAATGCAAACTAATTTACAGTAACAGAAAACAGAGCAGCAGCTTTCTGAGCAAGGGACAGCAGGGAAGGAGAGAAGGAGGGATGACAAAGGAACACAAAGAAACTATCAAGGGAGAGAAATATTTTTGTTGTTATGATGATTGTGTGTGTGTGTGTGTGTGTGTGTGTGTGTGTGTGGGTATGTGTGTGTGCAAGATAATTTTATACAATTAAAAAAATATATATATAATACATAAAAAGGGAGAAATGACACAACCACTTTTGGAAAACCACTATATATATATATATATATATATATATATATATATATATATATATAGTCTGTGGGCAATTATACATCAATAAAGCTTTATAAATTTTTAAATAAATTTAAAATGAAAAAAATGACTGTGAAATCAGTATTTTAAGATCTTTTTAATAGGCTTAACTGCACCATCAGTTGGAAAGCTACTCACTTGTCTGGTTATAATAGATGTGTCTGTTATACTAGAGTTTACCGTATTTACATGTCTTCACAGGATGTACTGAACAGATTGCAACTGCCTGATGAAGGCAATCTAAGTAATTTTTAAATGGGTTTCCTTTATTTGTGATATGACTAATAAACTTTATAGTGTAGTCTTGTTATCATTTTCTTGTAACTCTTTTTAAAGTGGACATTTGATGCCCACTAATCAGACAAACTGCATTTCAATAAATCTGTTCCATAGCTAACCATCTTTGCTGTAAGATTACCAAGTGAGTGGTTATTCTTCTCCAGAAAGTCAGTTTAAGATGCTGTTAATTTCCAAAAATGGGCTGACTGTCCTTGCATTTTTTTTATGCAGTCATACAGGAAGAAAAATGGATCACCCCATCCTCAAACTGCTGTTTCCTGATGGCAGCAGACAGCTGAGTCTCCCATGCATCAGCCTAATCACCATTACTAACAAGAGAGCAGAAAACAGCCCAGGACTGCTTCAGTGGAGATAGTCCAACTTTCAGAAACCACGGGCGCCCCCTAGTGGCGTTTCCTTTCTGATATTAGGGTGTTAAATCTAACATTTAGCCTGCTGCTTATGATTTTACAGTTTTCATTTCAATTGCTTTAATTAAATTATAAAACAATAATATGTTCTAGTTAAAGTAATATTATTCAATAGAGTTGTAGTTTTTGTTTTTTCTAATTATATAACCTCACTACTATAGTGCTTAACATCATGCTTTTATTTGATTTATGCTAACTGGAAAGAAAATGGGATCATTTTTTTTTTAATGGAAAGGAAGTGGAGAGATGTATCAGATAGCATATTCTAAAAAGGGAGTCCATTAACTAGTCTGTGTATTATCTAATTTTATGTAGGAGGAAATGAATCTAATGATTCCATAATATAAATTACAGAGAGCAGTCTCACGATCACAGCTTTATGAGCTCTCTAGCTTTTTATTTGCAAATGATTGCTCTTTGAATCACCTAATTTCATCAAAATCTTTTTTTAATATGAAAAGTTGTGATTACATGTGGCTCACATTTATATTAAATAGGCACTTGTTAAATGCCAGTTGGGATTTCTGAAATGATCATACTTTTTGCTCATCAGACTAATAAAAGGGCAATTAGGGATCCAGACTCAGCATTGTATTGAGAAAGCACACCCATTCCACTGGGTCAGAACATTGGGACACTGCGGGTGACCTGGCATGTCAGGGAGGACTCCTACACACCATGCACCTTCTGAGAAGCATGACCATGAGCCAGGAACCAGACATCCACCCTCAATTCTTATACTTTAAATTGTCTCACTCCCCTCCACCCCACTGACAGCCCCTCTACTCATTCACAAACCCATATACTAGTACATGTGCCTGTGAGTACACGCGTGCGCATGCACGCGCACACACACACACACACACACACAAACACAAACACCTAGCTTTTCTGAGTATGACTAGGATACAGTCAGCCTTTTAACTCGTACTAAAGAGACAGGTTGATGGAAAGAACATCCTATGGCCATGGTCGGCAAACTGCGGCTCGAGAGCCACATGTGGCTCTTCAGCCCCTTGAGTGCGGCTCTTCCACAAAATACCACGGCCTGGGCAAGTTTATTTTGAAGAAGTGGCGTTAGAAGAAGTCTATGTTTAAAAAATTTGGCTGTCAAAAGAAATTTCAATCATACTGTTGATCATGAGTTTGCCGACCACTGTCCTAGGGCAAACAAGGGCAGAGGCCAAGGATAGGTGGAGGGCATCCCTTCTAGTGGAGGGACTCCTTCCTCACGCCTTTCCAGAATGAAGTGGATGCAGACAGCTCACAGGACTCCCAGGTGGCAGGAGTCATCAAGCTCTTGCCATGTGGCCGTGGGAAGGCAGAGGGTGCAGACAACCCACACGCCCGGAGCCCAGGCGGTCCAGCCACTGCCCACCCTGCACAGCGCTGCTCTGGCCCATGCAGGGGAGCAGTGACACCAAAGCCATGCCAGAGGAAGCCTGGGTGGTGATGGGAGGAGGCAGGCTGTTTGCCTGCAGCCTCTGTAGAGGTGTGGTCCCTGGCATATAGTGGATGATCAGTGATGATGACAATAAGAAAGACTCAGCCCCTAGCCCCTAACTTACCACTGAGTTGCTATGTACACTGGGCCATTTAAACATAAAATTAACATTCATATATTTTTTCTTCCCTGAATTCACCTGTGATAAAAAAAAAAAATACATAAAAGCATCGATCATATGTGGCTTTAGGATGGGCATGCCTTTCTCAGAATCCCATCAGGAGAGAGCTCACTGTGTTTGCAGGGTGAGGGCCGCCCCCAGACCTTTTAGGAAAGACGCCAAGGTTTCACACTGCTTCCCCATAAAAAGTCTGAATCCATTCATGATCTAGAAAGGGGAGGACAGCACCCACTTTTTCCCTTCCTCCCCTCTTTGCTCAGGATTACCACTAGGAAATCATATGTAAACAATTTGTATACAAACTAAAGCCAGAGCTCCCAGAATTGAACATTCATGTGAGGAAGATTTTAAGAGTCACATGTGCAACATAATCACAGGCACATGCCTGGTGGGACACACAGGAGCCCTGTGGTTCTTATGGTTAGTGGTGATTTCAAATGGGTCCAGAAGCACATAGCTTTGGATATGGTTGCCATAGAGACAAACAAGCAATTTATAGATGCTTAACCCTAGAGGATTAGTTTTAATAACCATCAAGGAGCAATCAAGCATTGCAGTGTAGGCTCTGTTGTCGGGGTGCCGGGGTGCCAATCCTCACGCAGTAACAGGTTATATGTGTGTCCTTAGGCAAGGTAATTCAATTGTCTCTACCTTAATGTTATTATCTGTAAATCTATAAGACAAATACAGCAATAGTACAAACATATCTGAGTTATGTGAACCCAGATACCATATATTTTATAAATGTGTGTATGTACACACACATAACAGCTTTCAGCACAAGGGCC